AGACGCATACAAAAGGGGACTGAAACAAAGCAAAATTATGCGAAAAAACCTAACAGAACATCGATAACGTGAAAGCGAGATAAACGAAAAGAATGCGATTATCACGAAAGAATGCACGCACAAACGGAAAAAATAACAATTAAATGCGGCTGCAACAAACAGTAACAAGGAAGATGTTCCCATAGTGTCTGCAATGCACGGTTTGTAGTTCATGCTTGAATTCAAGTCACGTTTTTAGTGGTCGATTGACCTCATTATCCATATACATTAAGTATTCCTTTCTGCAGACTCCAAAGAGAAAATGTTGCCGTTTAGTTTCACGACTGATGCTGTTTAATTGTTTGCGTAAATGTCTTGATACGGATCAACAGGCGGTAGCACTTCTTTTCCAGAGGCGACAGTTAGAATGGAGGCATCTACTAAGAACGTTGAAGCAATTGAAAGGTTTAAGCAACTAGTGGAATTTTCGCGTCATGTTAATTTCGCGACATTAAATTTTCGCGTCACTTGAATTTCGCGAAATTAACGTGTCGCAAAAATTTCATGTAATAAGGTAGTTAAGCCTCAGGAGGGAGCTGGAAACTGCAGGACAAACTTGGCAATAAAGTCTCTTTATAAAATAAATAAACTGCAGCATGGCACTGCACTATGGCATTGTCGCTGAGTCTATTGGTGTGACAATTTAATTTGATGTGACCAATTTGACGGGCCCCAGGCCCTTGGGTAGGGATTTGATCAAGAATCCTTCGGGAAGATCAAATGCCCCATAAATGAGCGGTATTCCTCCCCCTCCCCCGACCCCACGCCATCAATTTGGCTTTGGTTTGACTAGATAGTAGCGCAAGGAAAATTCTCCATCAGGGACATTCTTAATTCTGTTAACCTCCAGCTCCTTGATGTCAAAATCCTCCCCATAAAGTTCATTCCTAAGCTCATCAGAAATGCTAGCCGGTGGCTCACCACGTTCAATTTCATAGTAATGGGTTTCCAGTATACAGTTTCCATCGTTAGCGAGAAGCGAATGCATTTTCTTCGTGTATCGTTTGCCGTTTACTGAAGGTACGATCGCAGACAAGGAACCACGATCCCAGATGGCGTCAAACTTCCCACCGACATCTTCTTCCTCGAAGGTGAACAAATCACAGCAAAAGATTGTGATCTTCTTTTCTCTGCACTTGTAAACTTCGGCTGGCTCACCGCTTGCGGCCATTTTCACTGACTCCACCGTAAAAGTCAGGTTATTTTCAGTGAAGAAACTCTCAATTGCTTGCTTAGCTAGCTCCACCCCCACAACAGTGTGCCCTTGATCAGCTAACCACAGCATATCGACGGACTTCCCGCACAGGGGAAGGAACACTCGTAG